GCCGCCAGTGCATATGTATAAGCAATTATCGGATCAGCAAGTGAAAGAAGGGGTGTAGAAAATTTCACCAACGTAGTACGGTAATTATATTCAATACATGCTGGGTAAAATACAAAATACAATATGAACGGAGTAATCATTAAGGTTTATATTTTGGGGGGAAGGGAGAGAAAATGAATTAGAAAAATACCAAATTACAGTAGATGATTTTAGCAGACTTGTTTTGAAAAGCTGTTGTGTAGGGTTTGCTATATAACAAAGGAATTCTTCTATCATCATCAGCATCAGGTGAAGTTTGTTGAAAATCTATGTCATATAAATTGTTTTTCCATACACATAAAGACGAGAACATATGATTTTTGTACCCACGTCTATATAAGATTTGTACCTGATTCATTATAATGTATCCAAGCAGAAAATTACGCTGCTGTCAATGTCTTCTAATGGATCAAATAACAAAAATCTCTTTTTTGATTTAAAAACAAAATATATTGTATTGCATGTAAGACTCTCAAAGTTGCTTTCTATTCTGAATTATATTTAGCATCAAACAGTAATATTGCAGATCGAACCAATCAGAACAGCATTGAAGCAAATTGAAAGCAAAGAAACAACGGTAGTGCATGCTTTAACTGAAATAATACATTTAAGGTAATTGCTCTACTACTGTTTATCACATTGCAAAAGAAAATATCGCATCAAAGCCTAACCTATTATTAAACATTGAAGACAAAAAAAAACAACCATTAAAGTCAAATAAATATTTTTAAAAAAAAGGAGAAAAAAAGAATATAATAAAAAGCTAAAACAATGTATTAAAATTTATTTAAAATAACACTATTTCAAAGCCAAAACCATTACAACAGAAAAAGCCTTTAAGCATCTAAGCCAAAGCATTTGCATTGACCTAGAACAACACTGCATTAATAGACTTACATCGGAAACACACTTTTACAGTTTAACAGCTTCAAAAATAAATGCAACAGGTTGACTAATTATAAAATTTTTACTGGTAGTGCATTGTGATGCTTAATCGGTAAAAGTTTGTTTGTAGTCAAGAGGATTAAGCTTGGAATTACCCACATTTGCCGAGTTCCGGATAACATCTACTATATAAAGCCAAACTAATGCATTAAAGAGAAAGCTTTATATTGAGGACCTGCAAACGTTTTTAAAAACATACTATATTAAAGTCCTGAGAAGCTATGCATTAAAGAAAAAAATCACAGAATTAAAGCAAACCTATAATTTATGCAGGAAAGCTGTGTGCCAAAAAAAGCCCAATACAAAAACAGTTGCATTATAAGCCAAAGAAATTTATTGGAGCATTGAAGCATAATCATGATTACATGCATGCATTGCGGACTCTGATGTCAATTGCATTGAAAAACATTTGGGATAACTTTCAGAAACAAAAGACTATGTATGGACTGTGGTTTGCTTTTCAAACCGAGATAAAAACATCCATAATAGTATCTTTTGCAAAATTAACACAGTTTAAAAAAATAGGAAGAAATTAGAAGATTGTATGATTTTCTTTTCAATTTTTTTACTATATCAGATGTTATAATTGCTCAAATCTGGAGACAAGATTAATTTTTATCTCCACAAACTAAATAATTAAAAGACATGATCACCTTTTATTAGCTGAGAGAAGTTAAACATTGTGAAGAGCATAATCTTAGATTACACTTACTGATGTAAAACATTTATGTAAGAACAAGGTTATTCACGACCGTAAAAACCGCTACGTATTGAACTGTTGAGCCTCGACCGCCCTTTTCTAAATGCTTTTGCGCACGAAAATATTGTTTATGGTTTTTTAATGAGAAGAGGTGCATATAGTGTTACAGGCAACCTTTTGCAGTTTGACATTCTAATGCATTATAATTAATGGGAAATTTCAGAAAAAAAGGAAAAAAGATCCTTTTTGTACAATAGAATACTTCAGTTTACCAAGTGCCACCCTACGTAATGTTAAAATGGGTTACCTTTTTAGCGTGATTATAATCAGATTGTGTTAAAGTTTTTGTCTTGTGGGTAATTGGGCTTTATTGGTCGAAACTGTGCTTACCTCTGTGAGGTCATTTGGTGTGTATATCAAAAATGCTGATGTGTGTTTAAATTATATTTTTTTTAAAAGCAGATTTTTTTGTGTGGTTTATTAAGCATTAAATTACATTTTTAAAATGTTTCGTATGTGGATATAAAATATATAAAGACAATGCATTATGTCATACATTGATTTATGGATTCATACGCGTAAATATTATATTTTACAATATTATATTTTTTTGCATAAGCAGATGTTTTATGGTATATCTTTGTTTAAGAGAAAATTAAAATGATGTACATCTGTATAAATGCCGGTACATCTGGGGGTGAGGGGGGGGAAGGTGCACATTTTGTCTGGCAAAAATATGTAAAAAACGTAATTCCCTGTATAAAAAAATAATTCGAATAAATTATTCGAATAAATGCATGCATTCCATGTTGAGACTTAATGCATTTTGGGCATTTCCTTGCCATGTTAATATTAAATGGAAAAATTTGTTTCTCGAAGCATAAACATTTGTGTCTTCTGTAATTTCACACATTGCTTGTTTAAAGAATAGCATTTCTGTCTAAATTGCATTAAATGTTTGTTAAATACTGACTAATCTGTCTTATTAAGTTAAAAACACTATTAATAAAACAGCTGTTTTGTTATAGATACATAATTTAGAATTAAAATAACTTCTCCTAAAATGTTTTAAAAGACCATCTTAGTTATACATTACTAACCGCAGCTCTTAAAAGTCGGGATATTAATTTAAACCACGGTAGTTTAAAATACAAAATGTGGAAAGTCTTGTATACGATTTTCAATGATGAATGAGTCAGTGACAGTGTAAGCTATTTGAATGCATAAGATTTTAGACGTTTTGTGATGGAAAATACTTTAGCGCCCATGTTACATTCAACGATCAAATTTTGCTTTGTATGAATAGCAAAGCATCAATTTTAGTGTTGTATCGTTGTCGTGGTAAGCGAACCAGAAATGGGAGAACGTACGCGTTGATATATGGACATAAACTTTACTGACATCCACCTTTTATAGTCACTTTACTCGAGAGATCTTATTAGATATATGCGGGCTGGCCATTTAATACCGAAATATGATTAGCCTCGTGTCAAGGTAGCGGAAAGTATGCATAGAATGAAGGTGAAAAGATTGAATAACCGGAGAAAAAAATGACGGGTGAGAACTATTTTGTAATGATTTGCTTAATTTACCTTCGTATGCTATGTTTCAACCCACGCTACGATATTTTAAAAATGATTTGAAAAATTTTGGTTTCTGTTGCTGCGAGAAGTGTTGTTGTTTTTTCTTCTTGAGAACTCAAGTGGAATTTGACATTTAATTGTTCAGTTTCTTTTTTGTATGCCTGTAGAAAGGATAATGATGATAATTTGATGCACATTGTGTCCCACATGATTTTTAAAGAAGGTTGTAATCATTTATACAGTAGTGGGAATGTACATGTTTTTTAAGTAGACTACTGTTGAATTTTAAATGCACAGATACATAATGATGAGTATGCTCGGAATATATTATGTTGGCAGTTTTATGTTAGAGGGGAAAAGAAAATAATTTAAAATGGACACTTATAATATATACTTGTAAATGTGTAAAGATAGTTAATGATGGAATCCTTTTAACTTCAACTTTTAGCATCTTTTGTTGTCATATTTTGACCCCTCACAACTTCTAAAAAATTTGTGGGATGTTTTTCTTCTGCTTTTGACATTGGTTTTGTAAAGGCTCATGTACTAATATTATTTCAAAATGTTTTTTGGTTTATAGGGTTCTTGAATTCCCTTAAATCCTATTGGCTGGATATTTTACTGGTTTCTATAGGATTAGGGACACAATATGTAGAAAAAAAGATACAGATAAATCATTGTAAATCAGACTTTTTTTTATTTTTTTTTTTGAAAATTACATCCTGATTTCTTTGATATTTTTTCTTTTGTGATAAAATAATATAATGTTGTAAGGTACAACAGACTAGATTATCACAGATATATTCCCCCATACCTTCTTATAATAATTGATTCACACCAGTACAGAGCCCAGTTGGCCAGCCTGCATGTCGATTTCCACAAAAGTATATCATTGCAATTATAAGTAATTTATCATATAAAATACAATTATATAAAATACATAAAAATGCATGAAATATATAAAAAAAAAAACCAATGCTGGATCCTGTTAAATTAAATTACATTGAAATTTTGTGACATAGATTTTAAAAAGTATTTTTTACTTTGTTTAGGAACTTTGTACATATTAAGATGTTTGTATTTGAAAGCAATTTGTTTCAATTTATAAGATCAAATTTTGAATTTGTTTGAGTAATTTTCCAGTTTAAAAAAATCTAATATTATCATTGTCTGAAGCCCTAATAATAGTGGCTGACCTAAAAACCATGTAAATATATGTGGGGGGAAACCTTCATTGTGAATAATAAGTGTCTGATAAAACACTTGGGCTGATCTTTTGTGTTGAGCGAAAAACTTTTGCATTTTGCATGCTGTTTATCATGTAAAACATGCTATAAGTTCATTAAAGAAGATCATTACATGTATGTGTTTAATACATGGGCAATATACATGTATACATATGTCAAATACCTTAACTAGCAGCAACTGATACTATTTATGTAACCATTTCTGATGTCATTGGTGTGCCATCTAATCATGGTATAATGCACTGCTTGCTGTTAGTAGTAGGAAATTATTTTTAAAAAAAATCCCTTCAAAATTTTCAGATTGAAAAATTGACAAGCACATTCAAGATATTTTGCAGGGTAAAGGTTAATAAGAACTTTTATAATTATGGAATGATAAAAGTTCTTCTATTTTTCAGGTTTTATTTAAGTGTCATTGTAATTTATATTATAACACTGATGTATTAGTGATAACTTATTAAAAATGTATTATTGTTGTATTTTTAGAGGAGGGAAGCAAGCAGTCACACAGCTCCGGTCACCACCGAAGCCGGGAACCTTCAAGTGGTTCAAGAGGTGAAGAAGAACCAAGTTCGAGCAAGACTCGTGACGCTTCTGTGGAGACTGTTGATCGTGGTGTAGGACCAACTCCTGCTCCACCCCCGTCACATGTGGACCCTCGCTCCCTTCCTCATCCATATTACCTGCCCTCAAGTTTCATAGACCCTAGGAATGGGTTAGAACAAGCCAGCCCATACAGCACTAACCCCTATGGTATATATTTAGTTATTTACTTTTTGTTTGTCTTTTTATCATACAGATTCTTATCTTTTTTATTGATAAAGCTGCTGTACTGTCATAATGTACCATAACCAAAACAGTGCTTATGTGACCTTAAAAAAAAAGAAATAATACTAATAATAATATTAAATTTAGGAAATTAAATAAAGGAAATTTAGGTGACAAGTAAAAAATATCTCATATAATAATGACATTTCTAGTTTATATTGTAAAGAATTTGCAGCATAGCTAAAATATCAGTTCATAATTATAATGTAGTAAAAAATATTTATAGACAATTTTTTAATTGTTTACATTGTAAGATTTATTTTCATTTCAACATATTTTTAATCAATGTTAATGTAAATGATAAAGATAGGTGTTATTCATTTTGTATTGTGTTTTTTTGTTGTCAGGTATTCCAGGTTTTCCGTACTACCCAGTTCCATACCCAATCAACCCCCCTCTACCACTGAACGCAAACACTTTAGAGGGACGTTACAATTGGCCGCCACCCGCACCAGGCTTTCACCATCCCATGCCAGGGTACGTATTTTGAAAAGTGTATAATTGGTTGCTCAAATTAATGTAGGCAAAAGTCAAGGTGTCCTTTTGTGATGCAAGTTGTTAATTGGACGTAAAATTTTGGACCCTGACTTGTGACAAGATTAGTACTTTGATTTACACTAACTTGTTAGAAATTAAAAGGAAAATGTCATGTATGAAACAGTAACTATTGTAGATTTCAATAAAAAAAAACACAAAAAAAAACAAACAAGTAAAGCCAAATATTAATAGAAAAAAGAAAATTTTGTTTGGTAATTTAGTATACATTATAATGAGCTCTATAATTATGCAGAAAATGAAAAAAAAAATCTTTTCCAGAACAAAATTAGTCACAAGTTTTGATAAGCCATAATTGCTTTTTTGTGTCATTTTATGTTTACAATTATTGCAAGTGAACCTGTTTTAAGTTTCACCATTTTTAAAAAAAGTGTCTGTGACAGTTTCATTCATCTGGACTGCTATATGAATTTGTGTTTGGATTTATGTGATTTTGAGTTTTGGATTAACACCTAAACAAGTGAAATTATGATTTCAAACATTTGCTATGGATTTTTGTGATCTACTATATCCATGAACTCAAATTGTTTGGTAGTTCAAGCATGGGATTTCTGAGTTATTTTGGAATTATATATTTTGATATTGTGAGTTATTCTTGAAATAATGGAATTGAATTGTGATTATATCTTTTATGAGCATCGGATATTTGTGGAAAATTTAGACGATTACATATCCAGATTTGGGATTAACTCAGTGACGTAATATATCAACATAATAAATCAGATTTTGTTCTGGGAAACAGACTGTTTTGAGTAAAAGAAACATTCATAACAGGGAGTGTGAAACAATGTGGCAGTTTAAAGAATGTGGATGCTAAAGTTAATTGAAAAATACAAATATGATCTATGTACAAAAACAAAGAATCAGTGATTTGTCTATGCGTACATATTGCCCAAATGTAATGCCCAAACATAATGCCCAAAATTCAGTGATCTTTCATACTTCCGACAGAAGAAGACCAACCTGGTTTTTTGTGTAGCATGACTATACTTTTAGAGGATACTTCTGCTCTTAAAATCCCTTAACTGTGGGCTGTTTCAATTTCAAAATTGGACTGTTTTATTTAATAACGTTACAGGAAGTTATGGTTAATTAAAGAAAATATTTAATGACAAGTTATAGGCTGTTTCTATTGTAAAAGTTCTATTGTGCAAGCTCAGGTAAAAATCATGCATTTTGCATTGTTAAGCATCAGGTTCACGTCTGTGTTACATTTCCATGCCAACATGTACTCAGTGGAATTAAATTTTTCTCCTTGATTTGTTGCAACATTGCATGTGCAGTTTGAATGATGTGGATTTTTGCTAATCAAAATGTGCAATGCATCCGCCCGGCTTTTTTTTCTCCTTTATTTTTTTTTTGTGAGGCGTACGAGGTATTCAGCAGGACTTCCATCTTTGATTGAAATGCTCATGTGACTTGCAGACTTTCAATGGCAATGAAAGCAATCAGGGTTCAAATAAAGCATCGTAACTCCGGCATTTACAGAGCATCTACAGCTTGTTTAACTGCAAAACCTTTTTCGAGCTTGACATTTGTAGGTCCTCATGCAGCCAGTCGTATTCGTACTGTCAATGTTTGGGGCAAAAAAAAATTAAATACGGCAAGAATAGGAGAATTGGTGGTTGTATTTACCAACCGAACAAAAAATTCTTCCCAAAATGTAACTGAACTCTTTTCAGTTGTTTTTAAAAAAAGAAGTTTTAAAAGCAAAAAACAAAAACACACATTTCATTACATTTATCAATGAAGAGAAATGTATTTAGGTTTGAATGAAGATACTACTAGGTTGGTTTTTGTTTGCTTTCTCTTAAATTTGATATTTTAATTTGAAATTTGTTGCCTGCTTTTTTTCATCTACAAATCATGATTTGTTTTTATCTGTGTCTTATATTTGGCAGATTAATTACATTACAATTTTTACAATGTAGATCAACTGTAATTTATTACTTGGAACACAATATCCTTGAATTGTTTTGTATACATATAACAGTCAAACTTCACAATAGGAAGTGAATTTTATAAATTTTGTTCAAATGATAATGTAGTGGTAGAACAATGGGCATTTTCAGTATTTAGATATAACCACTGGTCAAGTTTTAAAAAAAGTTTAAAATGCAAAGAGAAAAGAAGGTTGCCTTGAGGTTCTACTACTTATTGGTGGACTACCTTAAAACTTAGAAGTATTGTCTTTCAACTATCTTATTTAATAATAATTTTTTTATGCTCCTAGAGTACATAATTTGCTTTTGGTTATGGAGTCACTTAACTCTAGGTTTTCAAAAACTGCTAAATTTATCGTTGTTTTCATTGATTCGTACATGTATATGAGATTGTTTAAAATGTAATTTTTTATCAAAATTATGCCCCTTTATTTTACAGTTTACCAGCTAGTCCATCTCATACTGATGTATCATCATTGTACGGACTACGGAGCCCGATGGCACCCAGCGAGTCTGTGACCGCCCTTGCTTCACGTATACACTGGGAACAACTACGTCAGAACTATCTGAGTCCAGTATCGGGCAGGCGATATAGCCCAGGGTCTCTCCCAGGTAGGGGAATACAGGATTACGTTGCTCTAGCTTCCTCAACGCATGGCATGGCCTATCCATGGCCCTCTGGTAAGCTATGCTGGGAGTTAAACACTTATCCTACCTCTTATACCATTATTTTGTTTTAAATATATACTAAAACTAGTAGAAACAATATAAGTTACAACACATATCTTAAATTTTAGTAGTTAAACCATTTCTCTTTTTGGTTAATAATTGAAATTTTAGAATCTATCAACAATACTGTATTTTTTTTCTACAAATTACATTGACCATAATTATACCATGGATTGTCTGAAACATAATTGACTGAGAATTAGTTAATGTTTGGATTTTGAGATATATGATTCAGATTAGGAATGAAAATTATTAACATTCCTGTTACATGTATGATTGTCAAACGATTCATGTTATCTGCGGCCAATGGCATAATGACTTGATTATTTTTATGCCCCCGCCATGTAATGGCCGGGGCATATAGTGTTACCCTGTTCCGTCATTCTGTCATTCCGTCATCATCAGTTTCCGTTCATTATCTTAAGAACGGTTTCACACATTCAACTCAAATTTGACATAAGGATATGTCATGAGAAAATACAGGCCAAGTTCGAATTTGGTCATGGTTGGATGATTTTTGGCAGAGTTATGCCCCTTTTACTTTAAAAATAATATGAAATTTTCAGTTTCCGTTCATTATCTCCCCCAACAGTGTTACATATTCAACTTAAATTTGACATATTGATATGTCAAAGGAATGGGCAGGTCAAGTTGGAATTTGGTCATGGTTTGATGATTTTTTGGCAGAGTTATGTCCCTTTCACTTTGAAAATAATATAGATACATCTTAGGAATAAGCAGTTTAAGTTTGAATTTGGTCGTGGTTCAATGATTTTAGACAAACTTATCTGTCCTGAAATTTTGAACTTTCAGTTTCAGCACTCATACTTTTAGCCATTATTTTGGCTACAAATATGCAATATGCTATTTTTAAAAGGTTAAGACTGAATAATTTCAGTGCCTTGAACATTGTATGAAAATGGTTTGTGTTAAGGGCTTTCAACTTAAAATGAAATTTTGGCTGCATGCGGGGGCATCCGTGGCATGATGACACATTTCTAGTTGTTTATATGTCCTGTCTAATCTGTTTTGGGCAGGATTATAAAGAATGAATTTAACTATGGTTAATTAAATTACAGGTATTCCACCTTTTGGCAGTAGTGGTGGTCCTGGGTACCCGAGTGATTACCCTACAGGGTTCAGCCCATATGGAGGCCGCAGTATGTTCACAGATGTACCACCTACCCCTGGTAGTGGCAGCGTAACTCTCCCTGGATCCATAGAAAATAGTGAGACTTAATGTCATTTGATATTTTGATTAAAAAAAAAAAAATAGTATAATTGATCCATTTAATCATATGCAGGTACAGTAGTTCTTGGGCTGCCAGAATCTGAAATTGATTTACATGTTCGATTTTTATCAAATTGCTTAACTTGTCTGTATGATATTTATATAGAAAATGATTTAAAATTTCTACTTTTTAGACAATTATTTTTCCGCCCCTGAGTTCATTGCAATTTCTTCCTAATCTAATTATAGTTTTGTTGAAATTAAAACAAAAAATCTTATTTAAAGTTTTGCAGCAGACTTCTGCAAAACAAAGTCAATGTTTCAGTAATTTTGTATATGGTATAAAGTTGCAGCCATGGAAAAACAGACTTCTTAGTAGCTGAATTATTGAAGTCAATTAATTATGGTGGTGGAAAATGTATTTGTTTGTTACTGCATGTTCCCATTAGACAACATATGCATTTTTTTAAATGTCTATGTTTATGTAACATTTAATGTGCTACATTGGTGGTGTCTACAAAATTGTTTATTATTTTTACAGGTTCCCGTCAAACTAGTCCTAGACATAGTATTATTGGAAAGAGTCGTAAACGAGCATTATCACACTCACCTATCTCCGACTACCTCGATATTCAAAGCCTTACACGTAGTTCCGAGGGATCTCTCCAGCTTACACCGCTTCTTGGAGCACCACATTCGGCCTCCCGCAGCTCTAGTGCAGCAAGTGGTTCTTACGGACATCTCTCCGCAGGTATGTGGTCACGAGGCGGTTTCTTTCTTGCTGTTTTGTTACAGTTGCCTGCATGGCATCTCTTACACTTAATTGCTGAGTGTTTGAATTCTGCTAAGAAGGCTGTTTTATCTCATGTAAAGAAGTTGTCCAGGTTAGTGCCATATGGTCGCTCACTGATTCTATTCCGGTGTCAGTTCCTGTCTGAAATTGTATATGTAGCAGCATAGGCCATCTTCCTTTAAAAGCACATTATTCCTCAAAAATCTAAAAAAAAATTATAATTCTTAAGAAATATCAATGTATTGAAAGCATGAAAGCTGTTTTACAACTGAAGGAAGTAGCGCTGAACATGCAGTTAAGTGTCATAACAGTAGCAAAATGTAAACAAAGTAGCATTTTGTTTTTCATACTATTATTCTAATAATAAAAAGAAGCAAAAACATAATTCTATGTGGCAAATGACTTATATTTTTGAAACTGCGAAAAAAAAGTTTTTCAGAAATAAAAATGATAGCATTTCTTAGGCATAAATTAGGGCCTTTAAAGTGATTCAAAGCCATTCTATAATCCTTACAGTGCAAGTGTGACTTGAAACCCGACTAAGAGAAAAAAATATTTCTTAGAAACCAGTGTTTTGAAGTTTATGCCTGCGGCTTGTCTAAGTAAATCAAGTAAATAACAAAAAATGGAAATTCTAATGAAAATTACATGATTCCAGACATCAATGTTTACATGTCGAGCTGAATTGAAATTATGTGATTTCTTTTACTGTAAAATGTTGAAGAAAAGAAAGTCTTTAATTATTCTTTCTTACATATTGGGTATCTTGTTAACCTTATGGGTATAGACTGTAGAATTATGCGTTTTGACTCTATTTTGCTATAAATTATTAGTATGTTTTGGTTTAAACATATTTATTTGAGCTCGATTGCGAAACAAGTTCTTGCAACTTATATAAATCACTTTAGAGCCCGCTTCCTGGAACCAACCAGTACTGGTGTCATATGCAGAAACATGGTCGTGACCCGAGTAGGGCTCGAACCCATGATCTCTGGTTTTGCATTTATGGTAGGTCAAAATAACTTCACAGTAATAAAGCAATTAATGAGAGTTTGATATATCTGAAGAACAAGTAAAAAAAAAAAAGTAACAATAATCTAGAGACTTTTAACCCTTTACAGAGACCCATCACCTTGTTTTTGGTTGGGGTGTTAAAGCCTATTGATAAGCCTTTCTTGTGTATGCTGGCAGAAATATTCTCAGGAACAATTGTCAGGCTTTATGACCACAACTCAGGGACTCGGTTTTAAAGTTTTCTTTTTGTGATGTGTTTTAAGTCACACCAAAACAGTTAATGTCATATTTTGATGTTTCCATCTTTACTGACAGAGGAAGACATCAGCTTCTATGTATATTTTCACTCCTTACCACACTAGATATCTTTAATGGACTTGTCCATCTTTCAATCTGAACGAAACCATTGAATAATATTTAGGGAAAATTTCTAAATAAGAACTGACTGAATAGTGAACAGTACAGACTAGGATTGGATGCCACAGATGTACTGGCTGATCATGGTCTGCACTGGTTGCATGGGTAGATTTGGTCACCCCCAGCAGATTCATGGTAAAGAACCACAGACCTTCTGTAAGCCAGTTGGAAATAAGCTTTCTCATAAAAATAGACCCAAAGTTCCTGGTGGGATTCAAACTCAATTGTTAAAGGGCAAGGGTTTTTGTGGGGAAAGTTAATGAACTTAACCACAACTTCAGAGACTTCTCAGTGTTTAAGCTCGAGACACATAAACTTTCAGTCCGATTTTTTAAACCACATTCTTTAAAACATAATCAAATAGCTTATGTATTTGAAATTTTGGCAAGTTTTTTCAGTACATAATGTTCCTTTGACTTCATTGATAAACTTGCTCACGTTAAAATACCTTTATGATTTTACAAGACGACATTTGTGTCGGGGCATAGAGCTGTCTAATTACACTATTTGCATAAATTTGACAGTTTTTATGTATAATTGAAATGCATTTGTTAAATCCTCAGAGGAATAAATTCTACTTTGGCGACATCCTTCTTATATCTTTTGTTCATTGAGTTTAATAAGAAAAATTGTTTATGAATTGCATGTTTTTTAGGCTAGTTTTATTATTTACTATTAGAATGGTTTAACCCCAGGCATAATTACAGGCAATCATTGTATTGTTGATTTACAGTTTGTGCTATGAAATCAGTCTCAAAAAAAGATAATATATATATATAGGGAGTGACATGAAGTTTGATTTATACACTTACTTGAAGGAATTTATTAGAAAGTGAAGATTTATGTCTATGTTGCCCTGTATGACCCATACTTACTGGGTTTATGTTATGAATTCCTTGAATATTTTATACCTCACTTAGTGCAGTAATTTCTTTCATAGTAATACATTTAATTCTATGTAAAATACCATAGTATTTGCATTGCATATTAATTCACTATTGCATTGCATTGTATTTTTATTTCAATGTTTTCAAATTTGAATTTGTTGCAAGAAGAAGCCAATCTTAGTTGCTTGCGTTTTTGACTGGTCTATCAATTTGCTTTGTACAAATTATTATTATGAAGTTTTTTTGTTGCAACTTAAGTAAAAGTAAACTTTACTTTTACTGTAGGGGTAATCAACAGGTTGCTTTGTGGCTGAGTGGTTATGGTCACAGATTTCAAATCACTTGCCACTCATTATCATTGGCTTGAATCCCACCAAGGTCATTGGGCTTCTTGTGGGCGTTAGATATATTAAGCCAATCGTTAATTCAGGAAAATTGTCACATGACCTTTTCTTTGTCAGTGTAACTTAAAACCCAAACTGAAATAGAAATTAAAAAAAAAAGCAAATCTTTCAAAAATATTGCTGACTGATGATATATGAGTTTTGCTTTCTGCTTTTGCATTAATTATTAGGCTGAACTTTCTCCAAACCAGCTGTGACCATAAAACAAATTCAAAGTGAGATTTCTTTTTTCAGTAGAAATATGAAACATGGATAAGAATTATTCCAAGGCTTGTATAGTATATACATTTATATGACTAAAGGACAACATGGTATTTAACTACTGGCAACCCCGGCTGCTCTCAAATATGCCTTGAGCATAAAGTTAGGCAAGGTTTGCATAACCATGTATGCATAATGTACTGCTGATTTTTGAACTTATTGGTATTGAAACCTTAAAGTAATCTTAGGCAGAATTCAAAGCATGGCTGTATAAGGCCATTGTATAAATTAAATTTGGTGGGGTTTTACTTTACATTAACACAGTATCTGTCATACAGTGCTGGTGGAGGAATATTTCTGTAACCATTCCATGCTTTATTTCAAGCATGAACAGCCACCTGAGTAGAACCAACATTCCGTTAGCTTGCTGGATACTTCCTCATAGGAAAGAATCGAAAGGCTTTGAGGGGATTCAAACCCAAAGTGGTGAGGGTCAAGTGGTTTGAAATCAATGACTTTAACCACTAGGCCAAGGACAGCCCCTATAAATTAAATAATGTTAGTTTCCTATTGCATTTATGCTGCCTTTAAAAATGCTTTTAATTTAATGAATATTAAATGCCCCTTGAAGTTATTATTTTTCAAGACCCAGACAGATCATTGTTACTATATCAAATGAACTATATGGTATTCAATACAAATAGAACCTACCGACATGTTTGAAAGAATTATACTATTCTACCGCATATCTGAATAAGCTAATGTTTCAATTGTCTGGGTTAGATTAAACTATTGAATAGGATAAACCCAATATTTGTCATTGTTTGACACTATTCATATAAGATTATTTACTTTTCTTGCGGATGGCGGTATAGAACCTCCCTGTCGGGGACATATTCTATAGAATAAGATATGACATTTACAATACAATTGAATAGAATTATTGACAAGAACATGCAGGAATTCAAGTCTCAAGGTGTGAACGAAACAAAATAAATAACACTTTTTTTGCTGTTTAAACGAATCGAGACGCAAAAATATGATTTTTCATGTGTGTTCAGAAAAAAAATTCCTTCAAGAATTGAAATAATTGAAGAAGCGTTATTTGCACACGTAAAGATTTTTAGCTGAGACAGGAGTTTTTTTGTAGACCAGATTACAAGTGAAATAAAATTTCATAAATTTCAATGTGTGGTTTAGAAATCCCAACAATAATTATAATGTGCAATAAATAAATAAAGTCTTGTGTCGAAGACCACCTTTATAATTCAATGCTGCAGAGCCTATTGAGGTTGAATACCACTAAATCTATTTATTCAATGTATTCATAACTGGGGTGTTCTAGAAAGTAGACCATGTTTGAATATAGTCTCATCTTTTCTGTTTCTTTATGTCATGGTGGTCTGAGAATAAGAACATTTATCTTAAAGAATATATAGAAGAAAAATATATAAAAAGTGTTTTGGGTATGGTAGTTTAAACATTATTTTAGCTTGATTTTAGCTTGATTTTAAAGAAAGCTTGTGACTTATTTGCACTACTATCATAAAGTCTCCCAACCTGCACTGGTTTAACAGGATAGAACATGATTATGACCAAGAGAGGCCCCTGATTCCATGTTGCCTTGCTTGAAAGGCATACCCTTATTATTATCATTAGGCCTAAGGCTAGCTCCCCATTGGGTGTGTTGTTTTGGCAAACTTGGAAGTATCTGTTTGACAGCATTGATAAAAATGCTTTTGCAGTTAAAATGTAGCAAGTTCTTGGCAACATATCCAGTCAAGTCATTTTTATTTCGCTCTCTGAATTTTGGCTCTTGTTTTGCTTGCTTAGGTCTTAGTTCTTAAAACACACACAGTGTGACACTTCAAAGATATATGTTCATATTATTTGAATATCTTGTTGAAAACCTACAATTTCTTTTTTCAAAGTAAATATCAAATTTTCTCTCATATTATTTAAGTTGTTCAATATTTTTTGTTGTTTTCAGCATCACTTGGAGCCCTAAGTCCAGCAAACCATCCCCAGATGCCTTCCAACCCCTACCTCCGTCCAGGGGCGAATTTCCCAGCACCACACTTCTTTCACCCAGGAATGCCCCAGATGATGGGACGCCTGCCCCCGGGGGCACCTTTGATGATGCCATCTACCTCACAGCCCCACACCATACTGCAGCCTCAACCCCAGACCCAGAAACCAGAAACACAGGTATGTAACTAAATTCAAGGTGCAGTTTGTTTCTTTTGTAATACAGGGTATAACCAAACCATGAAATTCACACTCATGTTCTTAGATTAGGTAATTATAACACAAGTTTTAAATAGGTATATTTCATTGCATGTTATGACATAAGAGGTCAGATTTGTCTTGAAACTTAAATCACAGCAGATAGGAGGGTGTGCTTCAGCTTGTAATAATGACTAAAGTGAAAAACTTGCTAGAATTATGTCCTAAAATGGGTTATCTTGCAGATCTAAACAAATACATATAGAACTAATTTAAGCCTTTGCCACCTGAGTAAGACATTTATGAATTTTCATCTTGATATCGTAAAAGTCATTTTTCAGAGTGACAGTGTGACCAAGTGATTAACCTGCCGGACTAGTAATCCAAGGATTGCTGGCCACATGGGTGCAAACCCTTTCAGGGGCAAGCTGTTGTTCCCTTGAGCAAGAAACTTTACATTCATTGCTTAGTACTGGTTGGTTCCAGGAACAGATTTTAGAGTGTTTCAATAAGCTTATAGCTTCCAACACAGTCAAAGTATAAACTAAACATTCCTCATGGTATGGTCTTAATTGTCTATAATATCTGTCCATGCTTGAATGAAACTGATTTACTTGTAGTGACAAGCTATCTTTATAAATAAATTCAACATTTACAATATCACATATCTTTTTATTATTCTGTCCAGAAATAGATACAAAATATAAATCAGGCTGTTGCATAGAAGTAATCAAGTTTTCCCCTTTACTTTCAACCCACATTTATTTGCTAGTCTCTCTTAGTTTTTTATATTAGCAAGATCATAAATGGAGGGCTTTCTTCTTCTTTTTTTTTTTTCTTTTTTTTTATAAAGATTCATGGAGTCTTGACTCATGAAATGTTTTTGTATGTTATTTATACTGACTAGATGCTTGATGAAGTGTTTCCTATAGCAGCTGTGTATGACTTATAACGCCCAGGAGGGTTACATGAAAGGTGCCGTGTTGGTCACATGAAAAAAGATGGTTTCATAGATAAACACGTCCCGCCTTCATTAAATCATACATTTCAGCTGCCTTAAGGTCTAAAAGGCACGTGGTTGGGATATCAGAAATGCATCAATAAATTTTTCCCCGATAAAATAGTTATTATGCATATCCAAATAAAATCAGATATTAAAAAATTATGTTTTTACATTATTACATATATAAAATGTTTATTAACAAGAATATGTTTATTGCTTGTTATATAAGATGTAGAGATATCAGTATCATTATAAAAAAAGTATAACAAATTCTGTATAAAATAAGTATAACAAATTCTGTAACAGTGTTTTCCACATCTGGTACAACTGTAGCCAATTTAAAGAAAATTTGTATACACATTATAAACAAGAAAGCAGCAAATTTGTTACTAGAGCTAATAAGTTTTTGTTATTACTGATGTAGATAATGTTAAACAAACAGCTTAAGTAGACATCTTGTATGAAAGCTGTTACAATATAATCATTATGTTCAATATACAGTCCACATCAACACTTGTGTTATTTAAACACTGTTTTCAAAGGCCACCTATTGAACAAATTGCATGTGGTCTCTCTATTGAGGTTAAATTGCAATCTAATAAAAAGGAATGATTGACCTTCATGTGAGGATTTGGTCTGTTACCACAATTTTTGTTCAAGATTTAGTCGCATTTTGATTGGTTTTTTTTTTGTGAAACATAATTTTTTGTCATCAGTCACACTTAAATCTGATCCTTGAAGTTTCATATTATAAGTAACTATGGCGCTGAAAAGCTCAAACCCATGATCATTGGACATGATCATGGCACATACTGGTGAATATAAAATGATTTACAAAGAAAATTTAATTGTGCTATTGCTCTTAGATTTTGTTGAGATAGATTGGTATTGCTTTAAGTAATCATTTGCTAAATTGTGGTAAGTAAAGGGAAGTTATTTTTTCCAAAATTAAGTTTATTCTCAAATTTTAAAGATAGTTTCCAGTCATATACCATTTATATTTTTCAGTCCCAGATCAGCACAACAACCAAGGAAGCAGGCAGTAGTGTAGTTAGTAGTACGGTAGAGGCAGGGTACCAGGATATGAAAAGAACAAAGATCAAGGCAGAGAAAGACCCATATCAACATCATCACCATCATCATCATACAACTCATAGTAAGTTTATGATACCTGTAGCCTTCACCACGCTAAATATCATAAAAGGCCCATTAAGCTCTAGAAATGCTATCATTTCTATTTCTCATAAACCTTTAATTTTGGTATACTACAGTTCACAAATAATTTTTAAAAAATCCAGATAGATGAACTATTTCGCTTCTTTTGCTCTTTGGCAATTGGTATAATTATAGTGAGTGGAAGTCAAAGTATTACTTCAACACATTACTGCACATTCAACACTACTTTCTGCAGTTGTTTCAAATCTAACATGCTCTGAATTAATTTTCAAAATATTATTTAACACATATCACACCTTTCTAAAGAATTAAAATATATTTCTAAGGCATAATGTGCCTTTAATGAACTTGCCCATACAATTTGTTTGGACAAAATCATTCATCAAAATAGAAAGTGACTGAGCAGTCAACAGTGCAGACCATGATTAGAGCTCACAGATATGCCAACTGATCTTGCTCTGCATTTGTGACTGTGGGCACATGGGTAAATTCAGTTGCCCTCATTATTTTAAAGGTTTAAAATTATTGGAAATGTGTTACTTCGAACCAGCAGGCCGTTTCCTAGGCATTTTTGGAAAAGGTTTGGGAAATTTTGCATCATAAAATTGCTTAATTGGGAAATATATTTAGTACCTCTTGATACCTCCTCATGCTCTTTTGGACATAGCATTTTGAATTGGGCAAAATCGTTTAATCCAACAAATGCAAATATCATTCAAAGTATAAAAAGTACATCAAAATGTGTGGAACATCTGTCTGATACCAAACTGAAATGAACTCCAGCTTCATCAGTTTCGATAGCGGAAATTTATGTACCATTGGGATTATTTTTTAAAGATTGGGGGAAAAAATAAGCATATTTGCCATTGGGAACTGGTCTGGTAATCTGACCTTTGGTGACACCAGGAAAAGGCATGTGACCCTAATGATCTGCATACTTTGTTTTTGGTCACTACAAACCTTTTGAAAAATGCTTCATTTTTAAATAGTCCTTGAAGGTTATTTTTCTAAAACTAAAAAAAAATCACCTCATAAACAGATTAGGAAATTGCCATAGTTGTATTTTAGAATACTCTTTGTGTTGTTTTTCTTCTAGAAAAATTAAAATTGGCTTAATTGCTCTACTGAAGTTTTTACAAAGATTTCAAAAGGGGATATAAATGTAGGGTTCAGATTATTTTCAGATATATCTGAACCTGGTAAAAACTATGCCTAGATAAAAGGCATCTAGAATTGACAGCACTTTATCCTTAGCCAGCTTTTATTCTGGTTGTGATTTTGTTCCTTTGTGATAATAGACCTTTTTGATAATAGACTAAAAAACTGAAAAGTTCAAGATAATTTTTCTTTTGTTTATTGTGAACCTCATCAAAGATTTAGTGACCTAGATGTACTGGAAAGGAATGGAAGAAACTTGTTGGGCACTAGGCTTGTGATTCTTGCCAAATATTTTTCAGATGATTCAAAAACACTTTAAAAACAAACTTTTAACAAGTTCTGTTAAAGGTTAAGAATATCGATAAGATGAGACCCTGTTCATACGGAGTATCTTTGTAAACATTGGCTTTTAATTTGCTATGTCTTTCTTTTACAATCTGAAGTTTTCAGTTGAAAATTTCTTTTTTCTTTGTAAACGTGAGATTTTAAAAAAAAAAAAACTTTGACTCAGAAAGCGCAATTTGTCTTCTTTTTTTTCAAGTAAGCTGAATGTTAATAGTTTGAGAGGCAACCTGTAAGGAAATTTTGAAAATATTTTTAAACCTGAAACTCGGACTTCGGCATTGTTCTCTTAAATTTGTTAATTTGACATTGTTAAGTATATTTTGTTTTCTTGAAGGCCCTGTAAAGTACTAATTGTTTCTAAACTCCTTAAAAGACTATAATACAAGAAAATGTTGAATTGTTTACCCTTTCGAATTTAATGTTGCTTTATCTCCTTTGAACTGATTTTAGAAAAAAAAGTTTTTTTTTGTTATTGTTGTAAGTTGTTGTTGTAAATTACCTGCTCTTTACTTACATTCTTGAAGTTTTTAACCTTGATTCATGTCCTTATACCCTTGTAACAGTGTGAACAGGGTCTTAAAATTATAACAAAAACTTTTTGGAGACTATATCAACTGGTTTGCCAATTGAAAAAAATAGGACAGACACTTTAAAGAGCATCTTTCAAAACACATAATGTTCTGGAACATTCACAGAGAAAGTTTTTAATTTGGAAGAAGTGTTATGTTGAGTTTTAGGGAAGCCAAACTAGTTAACAACAGAGCTCTTATACTGTTAGGAGATTTTATGTTTTAAACAGGCCTGCTCACTCAATGATATGAATGACTTTTACATCTGTTAGCTGTTAAAAAACAGAACACTTGTGGAAACTTAACCTAGAATATACATGCTCCATGATTTATAGACTTTCTTGGCATACCATATTGATTCTTATAATCACCCCATCTGTAATTCGCCTGGGATAATGCACCGAAGGGCACCTGAGGTCTTCCTCCACCAGTAAAGCTGGAGCATCACCACATGACCTATACTGTGTCGGTGTGACCTAAAACCTTAACAAACAAACTGTAATTTGCTCTAAAGTGTTAACCCTACCCACTTATTTATAATTTGGCTCAAATATTAGTTTCTTAATAATGTCAACTTGATTGAAATAATTATGAACTGAAGACTTTACACCCAGGTTTATGAGAGGAGTGTATTTATCTTGCTGTATAAAGAACTTTCTGTTTCGATTTGCCAAGGTGCATTTAATAGAAACAATACAAACTTATGTTGGAACAGAAATCGTGAAGGGTGGGGTTGTGTTTCACAAGTTATATTGCACCCTTTACCCCTTTTTCCTGTATACCATGCATTTTTATAAAAGTGAATCATACAAAAATCTGGTTACATTGAACAGAGAAAATTACCTCTTTCTAGTACATGAATGATATTGAGCTACTGATTATACAGGTGTCAGAGAACTAAATATTTACCTTTGTGCAAATGCTCTAAATAGTTAAAGCTTACAATAGTTGCAGTACACATGGTATCTGTGCCGATGTTCAATCATAAATTTTTGATAAAATAGTGATGAAGAAATGCAAGACTAAGCAAAATTAGGTAACCTGCATATCAGTTAAATATATAGTATCAGTAAAATGATATGTTTTGGAATGATTTGGTTTGATCTCTATTAGCACCATACCCTGAATCCAGTCATCCCTGTGTATATGCAGTATTAATTAAGCATTGAAATCTAAACCTGAATTTTGCTTTTTTCCTCAAATTGTTATGCAATGTGTCTTATACCAGTAACAGAAAAAGAAATGAAGAAAAGTATATACGCAGTATGAGCAACAGAATTGTATGCAAGTCACCAGTGGTAATAATTTTACGATTTACAGAGATTGCCATGTAATATAAATGCTGTCATTTTGCCTATGTATTCAAAATACATTTTAAAATTACAATTTAGTTGTCTGCAACCTAAAACCAAAATCAGACCCAATAAATAAAGATTATTCCACTGTTCTTTAAATATCTACCCTGTAAAAAAAAACAACAATGTACTACAAATGTGAAACACTGTCTCCTGCGGTTGAACTATCTATAATACATTAGAACAAATGTTATTAACAGCAGTGTAGGACTTGTAAAAACCACACGACTTAACATACATAATGGGAACAGGATGGGTTTTTAATGTACCCTAATTAACCTCCCCAAATTATCTGCACAGCAAATCTCCTTTACCTCCAAAAAGCACAACATCTGTGCCAGGAAACAGTATTGTAACAGTTGGGAAACAAAAAAAATATGTTGCCTGAAGCCAGGATCCAGTGTGTTTTATGTAGGTATCTTAAATAGTGATCTTGACAGCTTTTTTTGGTGATTTCGATGAAAAATGAATGATTTAAGTGTGATTTGGTCAACTAATGTTTCAAAAATTAGTCTAACTTTGACACCATGTTTTTCCTATCGCTGGCAGTATGGTATGAAGCTGTCATTAGTTGCCAAGGTTTTGAGTGATTGCTTTTATATACATGTATGTTAGACTCAAACCTGGTCAGCTGTTGATTGCCTTAAAGAGCCTAAAGTTATAATATTTAATGTCATAATTATAGTTTCCGATTGGATCGTCATATTCTGTAATCAACCAATGGAAGAGTTACATTCTATGAACAGTTTTCAGTGTCAAATAAAAAACCTGATAATATATTGGCCATAATGAAGTAGTATTTAAAAGAAAATGTCCACACAGTGTTTCATTATCCACATTCTAACAACTCTGAAGAGCCAAAATTAATTTTGAGTGCTGTTTGGAATTTGTCATTTTATGTCTCTTTCACTTGAAATTTCTATGTATTTTAGAGAATGATACTTACTTATAGTAACAGTATACAAAAATAATTAAACTATAGTAATTATTACCAGTGTATTACCATAATCTGGTTTAATGCTAATCCATATTGTTTCCAGCTTATTGTCAGTGTAAAAATCAAGTGTTTTATCAGTTTGTTGTCAGTGGATTGCCACCATTATGTCAGAATGCTGGTCTGATTAGAGCTAAGCTTATTATTGGCACTGAGGGATATTCTTAATTTGGGAGTGACTGTTTAAAAATGACTCCATTAAGATTCAGAAATTGACTGACTCAGTGTTTCTGTTTTCTCAATTCAAAAGATGATTTCCCATCGATGTGTTCTTCTTAAGTCAGATTTCTATTACTATATTATATTATGTTATGTTAAATAATGAATTTATGTTTATGCTGTAACTTTAATTCCTGCTCAAATATACTTGTATAAAAAGTTTTTTTTCTATATGAGTAATTTTTATTATGTATCATACAGATGTGGAACTGTGATTTGAAGTTAAGATAACTTTCTTCAAATTCAGGTCTCAGAAAAAATGTTTAATATTAACTACCAGTATGTGATAAAGTATACTGTAAAGAAGTTAGGGGAAGAGAAAAGACAAAAGTTATGGGAGAAGTTTTTTAGATGTAAATGGATAGTCATGGTTTATGATGGCAAGGTATGAAAATCTACATAAAATTGATATCACCTGTCAAATGATGGTGTTAATGGCTGACTTTGTGCTGATACACTACACTGAATTTTTGTCATTAAGGATGGGCTTTTTTTCTCCTCCAAGTTTTTTGGGTCATTTAGCGGTCCCCGGCTGCGGTTCGTGTCACTAAGTTACTTTATTTCCAAGTGGTTAATATTTTTTATGAGGCAAAATGATTGGCAGTTATTATAAAGATCATGACATAACTTAATGTCTGTGTAAAAAAATGTTTTGAAAACAAAGTCTTAAGGTTACAAATTAGCATGATAGTTTCACAGTCAAATTTAGAAGAAACAATTAAAATTTTATTTTTAGCATTTAAAAAACAGAGATATAGTCAGTCTTCAAAAAAGTGATGTAAGCGTAATTTTGTTTCTGAGCTCCAATCAGGAATGCTTCAAATTGAAGCAAAAATCTCAAAGTAGAGTCAAAAGCGGTGAATTTGTTCTTAAAATTTCAGTTGTTAAACCAGTCTGGAACTCAGACATTTTGATTGGTTGCTTTGGAATTGAAATTTAAAATTGTCCAATGAAAATTCAACATTAGTAGACTGGTTTTAACTATTTTTTTAACATAAATTGAACCTTTTGATTGATAAATGAAGTTGAACCAGGAAGCATGCTCTACAAGTGACTGACAGTTTAAAACAATATCTCTAAACCCATGTTGCTTTCCTTCATTGACTCAAGTGGTTTTTGTTGAGATGATGGTGGTCACTTGAGGGGGGCAAGGTAACAGATTCCAGACTCAAACAATTTTTCTATTGAAGCTGGTATCTGGATGTAAATAAATAAATTTGCACACATTACCAGAGGCATGATTCATAACTGTTATTTATTGTTTTACATGATAGTTTCTTTCTGTTTATATTATACATATGATGGCCCTTCATTTCATATCAAATACAGTGGAACATGTTATTTAGGCCATATCTGATGTCATGAATCTGGAGAAGGTTTAAATGACATGTTTGACTATATAATTTACTTGTATTAAGGTCATGTTCCAGCTGAGTGTTTATATTTCCAGTGGTATTAAATTCATGTCCAACTAAATGTTTATATTACCAGTGATATTAAGTTCATGTCCCATTACCGGTTCCCATTACTGGTGAATCCCATTACTGGTGATATTAAGTTCATATCCCACTAAATGTTTATATTACTAGTGATATTAAGTTCATGTCCCACTAAATGTTTATATTACTAGTGATATTAAGTTCATGTCCCACTAAGTGTTTATATTACCAGTGATATTAAGTTCATGTCCCACTAAATGTTTATATTACCAGTGATATTAAGTTCATGTCCCACTAAGTGATTATATATCCAGTGATATTAAGTACATGTCCCATTTAATGTTTATATTACCAGTGATTTTAAGTTCATGTCCCACTAAGTGATTATTTTACCAGTGATATTAAGTACATGTCCCATTTAATGTTTATATTACCAGTGATATTAATATTTATGTCCCACTAAGTGATTATATTACCCAAGTTATATTAAGTACATGTACCATTTAATGTTTATTTTAGCAGTGATATTAATTTCATGTCCCACTAAGTGATTATATTACCAGTGATATTAAGTTCATGTCCCACTAAATGTTTATATTACCAGTGATATTAAGTTCATGTCCCACTAAGTGATTATATTACCAGTGATATTAAGTACATGTCCCATTTAATGTTTATATTATCGTTTAGGCTAAGTACATGTTGCAATTTTAGTGTTCATTTACCTCATTTACACATTTCACTTGCAGCAGATTACCTCTTTTTGTCATATTATGTTTTATACCAAGACCATATTACCTGCTTACAATCATATCATGTCTTTAGGTTCATATTTATAAATACAAACAGATCAATATTCTAACTGTATTTTTTTTCTTCAATACTTTAAATGATTCTACAAGCGAATACACATAAAGACACTTAAAGTTATTTAAAACTATGTGACATTAGCAATGCAAATACATTAATTTTAAAATAACATGAGTACTTTCTAGTTTCGTGCACTTGTAAATAGGAAATTATAGGGTCAGAATTAAAATAGAAACCGTGCTCTTATAAATCTATCAAAGTACTGAATAGTTTATTGTAGTGGTGGTTAGAGGGTAATACTTCAGATAGTTTCTAACTACATTCATTTAGTTTCTGTATGTAATACACAACACAAAGGCAAGACCTTGATTTATATTTTTGCTACTGAACAGATAGTCAGTTATGCGTGAAACTTTGAGTAGGGCAAACCTTCATTTATGTCAGATGTAATCAAGACATAGAGGAGAAGATTAACGTTTACACACTGTGGCTGATGTTGGGTTTTTTTTCTCCCCCATCAATTTATGTAAAGTCGGTTTTTCATTAAACTGCAAACCCAAATGTTCACACATAAATAGTAAAGGTCCAGAAGCAAAAGAAATTGCTGAACCATGAAAATGAATTCATGAGCATTCCATCTTAAATCTCTTCATTTTTATGAAAGGGAAGTAATACTAGGACATTTTGAGTTCAGGTTAAGGAAGAGTTGTATCCCTTTGTTCATTATATTTATAGAAACTATTTTATTTTATAGTTTATAGAGATTTCACAAATATTTTTTACTTTCTAATTGCAGGTTTGTACGAGGGTGAGGAAGGTGAAGAGGGAGATGAAAAACCTCTCAGTGGAGACACTCATTTGGCTCCTGGCCATGTTCCCCAAGAAGGGGAACCAGATTTTATGGAGACAAATTGTCACTGGGAAGATTGTTCTAAAGAATTTGATACTCAAGAAGAACTTGTCAAGGTATGAAAATTAAAGCTAGAATAATTCTTTAAGTTCTTGTAAGACATAGATTGCAAGTACTGTGTAGTACTGTGTAGTAAAAGTAACGTTGATTTCCATCATAAAATAACATGATTTAGCATAATAATATTATAATCTGTGACCTAACTTGGGTTCTTATCTTTCGACTTTTTTTATGTGCTAAATCTGTTTGGGAACAAGTGCAAAATAGCATGTATGTTATGAATAATTAAAAATTCTCATTGCCTGAATTCCAGGCTATCTATTACTGAAGATGTTCTAGATATATTAAAATTTTTTAAAAATTTCAAACACCATAAAATCATGCTGATAGAAATTCAGCTACTGTAAATGTTTCTCTGTTACTTAAATCGCACAAATTATATTTGGACAATAAAAGTGGACTCGAAAGTAATTGATATAAGCTGCAAGAACTTGTTTCACAATCGAGCTTTAATAAATAATTATGATTACACCAACATCACCTCTAGTGTGTATGGAGTCAACTAAATAATGTATTTTTCTGTTATTTTAGCATATTAATCAGGACCATATTCAGGCCAATAAGAAGGCGTTTGTTTGTCGTTGGTCAGAGTGTAGTCGAGAAGAAAAACCATTTAAAGCACAGTATATGTTGGTTGTCCATATGAGGAGACACACTGGGGAAAAACCACATAGATGTACTGTAAGTAAAGTGTATATTAAATAATGCATTAAATGTAATTATGTAACCATAGTCACCCACCTATATATCCTTTAGCATGAAATTTTATGATTATTGCTCAGTAGTGGGCAGTTTTCAGGAACAGATTTGAAAGCGTGTCAATAAGCTTTTAGTTTCCTGAACAAGAATAAATTCTGTTTAATCTAAACCATTGTTTAAAAGATATTTAAGAAAAAAAGCAGATGTCAGCCAATCACTGAAGTATATAAGGCTATGCCAATCATAAATTTTAGGGGTTTTATTTCATAACTATATTATTTGTTATTTTTCCTGAATATTGTGATATTTTCACACAAATTTTCTTTTTCAGTTTGAGGGCTGTATGAAAGCATACTCGAGATTGGAGAATCTTAAAACTCATCTACGATCTCATACTGGGGAGAAGCCGTACATGTGTGAGTTCCCAGGATGTACGAAGGCCTTCAGTAATGCTAGTGATAGAGCTAAACATCAGAATAGAACACATTCTAATGCTGTAAGTATATTACATATGAGCCGCGTCACAACAAAACCAATATAATGGGTTTGCGACCAGCATGGATCCAGACCAGTCTGCGCAGTCTGATCAGGATCCATGCTGTTCGCTTACAAACCCTATTACAAGTAGAGAAACTAATAGCAAACAGCGTGGATCCTGATCAGACTGCCTGGATGCGCAGGCTGGTCTGGATCCATGCTGGTCGCAAACGCACTATGTTGGTTTTGTCGTGACGCTGCTCATATATTACTGCATATTTGTAAGTTCTGTCATCATTTGCTATATAACTAACATGGTGACTTGAAGAGTATCAGCTTACAATCATTAAATTGGTATTCTTACGAAAATAAAAATTCCTAACACATTGATGCCTAAACAATGCAACGTTAAAGACCTAATTTGCTGTACAAACTCATGCCCACCTGGGTACAAGTACAAAGAAGCAGTTCTCTGACACAGGTGTGCAATATATAATCTGTCAGTAATAGAATAAAGACAACTTTCCACTGAAGACCATTCTGTGAACAGGGAATTCTCGCCCTTTTCTGTTTCTGAATTTCTACAGTTTATTGGAATTTTATCTGTCAGCAAGAACTACTTTATATTTTCACTCCAGGGTTATATAATGATTAAATGTTTAGATTTGAATACATGTAGTAATTACAACTAGAATCATACCATTTGCTTTATATTAGAAGTTCTTTACTTTATTAGGAGTTCTTAACTTTTGTTTTGAAGTAAGACCACAATAAAAAAATAAATGTTATTGATTTCAGTTTTATGCACAGGAAATAATTCTATGTTTGAATATTCTGGTAATAAACAAGAAAAAATCAATTTTTTGAAGGGAAAAAAAAGAGAATTGATAAATCTGTTATTCTTTACTTATATGGCAATAAACCATTTACAGTTTCTTAAAATATAAATATTATTATGATTTCAGAAACCATACATATGTAAGGCACCTGGTTGTATCAAACGTTACACAGATCCCAGTTCTCTACGTAAACATGTGAAAACTGTACATGGGCCGGAATTTTATGCCAACAAGAAACATAAAGGGGATTTACCGCAGTCTTGTAAACTGGAGAAAAAAGATGAAAATGAACAGGTAAAAATTTGTTTATATATCAATCAATAGGAGCTGTAAAAAAATCATTGAATCATACTGTAATTATATCAATCAAGTAGAGCTGTAAAAAAGAAAACAATTGAGCAGATCAAAATTGCTATGCCGGACAGTAAATGATGACACTGGAAATTATGTGTATGCCTTTAATTTTCTCTTTGTCATATTGCATATTGATGAAGTATACAGAATATTTTTTAATTCATATTAAAAGAAATAAAAAAGTCAAGTACATACTATACAAACTGTTTAAGGTAAGAGGAACTTTGTGGGATGATACATGTATTCTGTAAGATTAAAAACATGTCTCTGTCATTGAGGAATGATTATGCTTGTTGTAATGATATTTGCTATGTTTATGCCTGGCATATAATAATAGATTTTGTCTTTGTTGGTTTTCAGCAGCAGGATGACAGTAGGGAAGAAGGTACAGCAAAGGTTGAAGAGTGCATGTCGGTCGGCCCGCTGCAGACGTCATCTGGTGATAGAAGAAGTTCACAGGTACTGTATAAATTAAATCCATCCTTTTTAGAAATTTGTTTTATTTATTGATGTATTACTTAAGTACCCTAGACCTAAAGTTAATCAAGCTTCACCTGAACTTAAAATGTGTGAAAAGTCATGATATGGCACTGCATATATCTCTAATTCAATCTGACACCAGGGTCCGAGTTTATGAAATATTTTAATGAGCACAAACTCAGATCTCAGGTATTTGATTGGTCAGAAACCAACATAGAAACTATATTGAATGAATCCTGAGATTTGAGACAGAACTCGAATAAAAGTTTTATAACCTTTAGAGCTGTACTGGTTTATTCCAAATGTAGATTATAGAGACATATTTAAAAAAAAACTTTATAAGTAATTAGTTTCTAATCATTTGATGAATTTATTCTTTACTTAAATGTCAAATTCCCGTCTGCTGCAGGACAATGTTGGCTCAGTAATACAACAGCACCCATCACCACAAAGTAGTCCCGAGGTCAATGTGACCAATAACCTCCAATCAGAAATAGATGATCACATGACCTCAGGGTCACAGGTCATCAGTATGGGACAGAGTGGTGGTATGGAGGAAGATGCAGACGTGCCGGAACCAGATGAAGCTGAGGTTCCAGGTTCAAACAACTTGGTTGTCATGAGACAAAATAGAGTGAATACAAGTAGAACTCTACAGAAACGTAACCTTCAGAAAAACATGGCTCTTTTACCACCAGTGGGACATAACAGTAAGAAAAAATTTAGCGTCAATTTATGTTACTGTTTTAAAAAGTTATCTTGTGAAAAATTCATGCATTGTTTATACAAATTTATGTAAGTACATATTGATTTTAGTTTTTTCTCACAATTGATAGCAAACTGATTTAGCATTTTGACAAAATTTAAGATAATTATATGTACTTTTATTTGTTTACAAAAATTATGCTTAAAAGTTTCATTGTTACATCTGTTACATGTGTTTCATTATAAAGAGTTCTTGTTAAGTTATTTTTTATTGACAGCTTTTGAAATTTAATATGAAAAAATATGCTCAAATGAAAAAAATTCACATGTGTTCTTTTTTCTGATAATGAAAGTTTAATATACTTGTTTGTTATCAGGAATAAGGAAAGATGGTAGTGGGCCCTGCAGACATCATCACTATCTCAAAAAACCTGCGGTTCCCCAACCATGTAACGAATCAAGATCCCAGGTAAATATATTTTTCATTTATTACTATAAAATTTACTGCCTAAAAAGTGGGCCCCGGACAGTTCTAGCCCGAAGATTTTTTTCAAAGCTTACTTAAAAAACACATACATTTTCAGCTGACTGTTCATAGCATACAGGCAATATTGAACATTTTTAATATGTATAAAAGCTAACCAGCTGATGTAAAGAAAAATGATGGCTCTCTCTTGGTGTCTGTTCATGCCTGAAACAATGGGCAACTTGCATCTTATCATTAAAAGCTCAAAGCTGTCAATTGATATAAACAGTTTCTTAATTACTGAAAAATTCCTTACAAAAATTAAAAATAAATTCTAAATACGATATTTTAAGAGATTTTGTTTGTAAACAATAAAAAAGAGCACATTAGATATTGTATGAAGCATTATGTATTAATTCTGATTATTTTGTTCACAGGTGGCAATGATTCTCACGGTACAAACATGTTCCGTTCTCGAAGAGACAGCAATACCAGTACGCTCAGCTCTTACTACAGTAGCTTACGGTCAGACAATAGTCCTAACCCGTTTGGCAGTCTTGCCTCAAGCAGGCGGTCCAGTGAGCTGTCTACAAATAGGCTTAGTATCACAAACTCTCCCTACGAGTATGATATCACTGGAAATAGACCATATCATTCGCGTAGATCGTGTAATAGTGACTCAAGTGCAAATATGAGTCACATGGAGGCTCAATTTCAAAAGACAAATCTTGGCAGCCAGCCAAATTTGCAATCTCAGTCAAACTCGGTGAATTCTAGTATGCACAGTCCATCTAGTAAATATCAACAGGAACGAATAGCTAGATTTCTGGCTGCTAGACAGGATGTGAATAGTGCAAGAAATAGCGCGCATAGCACGCCATGTAGAACTCCGTTACCTAATGAAATGCCGAATAGAGACGCTAGAAGGGCCAGCGACCCTGTAAGGGCAATGGACCCAAATTTTAATGGTGCCTTAAAACAGTTACAGCGATTTCATAGTTTAAATATGGGAAAACCTCTCCCTGTGCCGCAGGGACGTAGTTTACGTCATAAATCAGGCTCTCATAATACGTTTAATTCTTCACGGAGCAGTATAGCGACAGATCCTGATCATAGTAACGGTGAATATGACAGTCAGATAATGGATACTGATACAGAAGCCGCTTTAGAAGAGAAAATGTTAGAAGACAATGAGGATATGATAATTCCTGATGATATGCGGAGGTTTTTGAATGAAAGATACGGGGACGGACATTCTCTTTATTCTTATGATCCAAACGCATTGACAGAATCAGAAATTTTCTATCTGCAACAAGGTGCTTGTGGTGCTAATAGTGGTAATAATAATAACCAAGCAAGTGGGAACTATGCACAACATTCACATGATGGATCAAATGGTGCGAACCAGTTTTCTGCAAACAATTCTGTTCAGGGAATGCAAATGCAAAACTTTTACAATTCAGGCAATGGAATGCCAAATAAGGATAATTTAAATTATAACATGAACCCAAATATGGATAATATGCAAATGAATTCACCTGGTCACATGGCAAACAATATGTCATCTGATCAGATGTTAATGCAACATCAGATGTCACGTGAAAACACAGCGGCATGGGTTCAGCGTCAAAACACCCAGAATCTACCTCAATCACAGGGCATGTTTCCACCTGTCACTCCAACCCAGGAACCAAACGTCATGTCTCACGGGAACATGCCTCCTCCAAAACCAAAGGACAGGGGTATGAATCCTAATGTAAACTGGAATATGATGAATGCTAACATGCAGCATATGAACAATAGCAATCAGAATCTGCATCCAATGATGCATTCTCCATTACCTCCCAATATGCCCGCACCCCACCCACCCCTCACACCAAAATCTGGTCACAGCATGAATCATCCTCATTATCCTGTAAAAATGAATCAAATGCATCCCAATCAAACACAAATGATGCAGAATCAAATGATGTCAGGTCATATTCCCCATCCCCCATCAACAAAACTGGAACGAGGTAGTCCCCAAGTTCAAGTACCGCATATCAGCCAGTCACAAATCCCTCCAAGAGCAAAGGCAGCCAATAGAAATCAGTTGATTCAGCAGCAGCAACAACAGCAGCAATCGTCTGAACAACATCAACAACAACAACAACAAATTGTTCCACCTAATCAAAATGCTGCTATGAATATGCAAGGGAATAATTTTTCGCAAAAAATGTATGGCGGGTATCCGGGACCTTTAAATATGCCCCCACCCCAGGGGCAGCAACAACAATATCTTAACCCGCAATTCAATAATATGAACATGCAGTTTGGTCCCATGAACAATCAGGAGTTTAATCCAAATTGTCAACAAAGTACTCAAGATCATAGGTCCCCATTTAGTAAATTAGAAATGTCTCCAGGTTGTAACCAAGTTACAAGTTCAACAGACGTTGTTGCCGAGCGACCCCAAGAAACAGAGGCACCACCTATAGAAAATTTCATGGACAACTTAAATTCTATATCGGCAGAAAATTTTATGGATAATATTAATTCAATATCGCAAGAAAATATGAATAACTTGTACAGTCCGACAGCAATGAGTAATCGATCAAACTCGCAAGCTTCGCGATATAGTGCCGCTCTCATGAACACGTCAAATATGGTTGTTAATGACATGAGCTCAACGATGCTACAATTAGCGGAAGAAAATAAATTTTTCAGTCGCAGGCAATGATAGTATTCTAAATATAGTGTCATATTAAAACAGATATGTGTTCAAAAACTATTGTATGTATTCATATTGTGTACCATTCAACAGGTTCAGACAATAATGGATTATGTGTAAAAAAGTTATAAAAAAAAATCTACGATAGTGTCAGAAAATATCCAAATGAAAGATTCATTTATTTCAGTAATGATGGTATATAATAACATGGTCAATAAATGGTAAATGGTAATTGAGGGATATTTATTTACAGTTTTTTGGGTTTTTTTGTTAAGGGTATAAAATTTAAGTTGTGTTCAAATATTATGCTTGGCTGGATAAGTAGGTTGTTTGAATGCAACCATGGTATCCCAGTGTAAAATGAATATTATTTATACAATACTTTCAGGCATGATTTTTAGAGAGAAAAAAATTCAATTCTTTTTTTCACTGCCATAGTCTCTATCATACTTTGTTTGACTTGTTCGACATAATACCAACCTTTTGGTTATTTAATCTATATCACTAATTTGTATATCATATTGTTTTACAATTTAAAGCTATCTTTTTTTGCATGTATCACTTAAAGCTGTCCTAGGCATGTTAAAACATATTGCAGTTGTAAAGAAAGCAAGACTCGCTATACATTAAGATTTTGTTTTTCTTTTTACATAAAGTTACTGCATTTAATCTCTGAGGACAACTGAAATCCAGAGATATTTTTAAGGGTAAAGACATTTTATTATGTTGTTTATACAATGATTTCATTTATCTTAGGGTTCAAGACCACATTAGCTGCCAACTCTGGTGTTTCTGCAATGTTGTGTTGATCCCTAAGAAATGTTTTTTTTTTTTATTGAATCTGTCTTAAGTAGCCATAGATGAACTTTTTTATTTGAATCTTGTCATTTGTTATGATCATTGTGGTTGTGAAACAAGTGTGTCATTGAAAGATGCTACTCTATAAAAGGGCAACGTTTATCAAAATGTTTAACAGGATAAATTTAATTTTTTTGTTTAATTGAATTTATAAAATTATTTCAAAATATATATGTATTTGGACATTGAATTGACTTCTTTATTTTGCATTTTAATTCTACAAAAATGATGTCATCTGTAACCTTGTTATAGTGTGTGACATAATCAGTGACATCATTATGATGTGTGACATCATTAATAACATCATTATGATGTGTGACATCACCATTGACACAATTATGATGTGTGACATCATCATTGACACCATTATGATGTCACACATCATCAATGACACCATTATGATGTCACACATCATCAATGACATCATTAAAAACATTATTATGATGTGTGACATCATTAGTGACATCATTATGATGTGTGACATCATCTTTGAGATATATGGCTACTAAAGAGAAGATTTCAATATTGCATATGTAAAAAATAAATTGTTTATTGTTATCATCATTTTTATATGTAAATTAATGAGATGCCAGTGTATGTTTGTGATTTTTAATTACATATATTTTTCTTATGTCATTTTAATGTATTTGTTAATTGCATTTAGATAAGTATGTTTAATTCATTTACAAGAAAGTGTGCTATTTACAGCAAACAAGTGCTACTGATTTTATCAAAATTCAAATTTTATGCATTTTTTTTAAAGAAATTCAATAAAAAAAACAAAATTTTAACCTAACCATACATAGGTGGTGTCCAATTTTTATTGTTTGAATTGTCGTTTTTATTCACAAAATTGAAGTATATCAAAAATAGATATCTTTATCCGAAATTTTGATTATTTGATTTAAAAAAAAAAAACAATATATAAAAGCATTGTTTATTTGTATATTTGAACAATATTTTTTCTATTATAATAGATGTTTGTTTTAGAAACATATATTTTTACGGAATAAAATTCCATTTTAATGATCTATATACATATTTGATGAAGTGGAAAACTATATCTATGTGGTATTTTATTTTGTTTAAGAGATTATAAAAACTATGAATCTCGTTGTATGTAAGAAATGCTCTTGTTGTGTTCAAGTTTTAATTTGTAGCATGAGAAAAATACTCTTTTTATCACTCAAAGGGAGGTAAATACTATAGTTATTGGACTATTAGTCTACACTTGTTTGCCTCCCTTTTTCCTTTTTTTCCAGATTTCTTTTTTTCACAGAGTAGTCTCCCTTGTATAAAATGTGCTACACGTCAAGTGACGTTTCTTATTGAAAAATTATAGCCTTTAAGGCTTTAGATGTATTTCTTTTGTTAAGATTTGTTTTAAACAAAACTAAAATCTAGATGTTTACAATTGTTGAACCCTTTGTAAGCTACTTTTTCAATATGGATTTTTTTCAACTTGGATTCTTGCAATTTGGATGTCTTGCAATTTGGATTCTTTCAATTTGGATCATTTTAAAGAGAAGCATAATTGTCTCTGCTGTGATTTTACATTTGTGCTAAGAAGAAAGTTTTATTTATATCAAAGTAAAAGTGTGACATATGGCATTTAATTTTTTTCAAGTGTGGCAGTAGGTAGTCTTCCATGTTCATTTGGTGCATATTTTTATTATATGTCATTGTTTGTTTAATATTTTACCAAGCTGCATTTATTCATTTATTTTTTGAAATTGAAATTCTTTCACCTCTGTTTCAACCTTACAATGGACTTATCATTGATCAATCTAAGTGGTAGTTAATTGATTGAATGAATGTTTAAATTTTATTGTCTGATCCATCTTCAAATTAGATTATATTGTAAGATAATTAAAAATGTTAGGGAAATAATAATTTCACAGTCATATAATTATATGCATGGTTTTAAAAAGAACTCCATTGAGGTCCTTAATTTTGTCTTACAACATGCCTAAAAGCATAAAATTTTAAAAATGGTATAAAGATGAAGTGAAGCAATTAAAATGGAAACATACCAGCAATTTAAAGAAGAATATAGTCAGAATTTAATTGATTATCAATATTTCTGCGATTCTAAGCCTATTTTAGGTTATTATTAAATTTAAGTTAAATTTATTTTCAGGTGATTTTTGCACAACAAAAAATGATTATTTTGGCAAAAACAGAGTGAGTTTGCAGACAAGTTTTTAGTACATAGCTACATCAAATAATAGATAAATGAGCCGCGTCATGACAAAACCAACGTAATGGGTTTGCGACCAGCATGGATCCAGACTAGCCTGCCCATCCGTGCAGTCTGATCAGGATCCATGCTGTTCGCTTACAAACTCTATTGCAAATATAGAAACTGATAGCAAACAGCATGGATCCTGATCAGACTGCGCGGATGAGCAGGCTGGTCTGGATCCATGCTGATTGCAAACGCATTGCGTTGGTTTTGTCATGACGTGGCTCAAATATTAAAAAAAAAATCAGTCCTGTCATGTCAAAGAACCTCAGTGGAGTCCCTTTAATATAAGAGTTTGAAATGTTTCCTTCATAAAAAGAAGAGCTAGTTTTGGAAACCAAAGACAGTAGATATTAAAATGAACATTAAGAGCGCAGATTAAAGTATAATTTGTTCACATGAAATTAATGATATAAAATAATTTGCTACTTTATAAATGCTTGAAGTGTGACACATCAAACAAATGAAATGTGTTTTCTGTAAACAGTTAAAAACACTTGGACAATATGGTTTTTTTTTTCATTGAAATGCATCATGTCAGAATTTAACAACAAAATAAACAATTACGATTTTATTTGAAAAGTGTGCTATATAGGTAAATGTGCATTTATATTATGTGAAGATAAAATCTATGCAATTGTTTCTTTTTTCTCGCTATATTAGACTACATTTTTACATGACATGTTTTTCATAAATATTGAGATTTTTTGTGCCTTATTTTAATGTTGAGAAAGTTTAGTGTACCGGTAATTCTCGCTGTATATATAATTATAGTTTTGATGATGGCATTTATGTCCACTTTCTTATAATGTTGTTGTGTGGTTTAGAAATTAACGACCTGGTATATATTTGTTTCATATATTCATAGACCTTTATGAAAGTTTAAAGTTTAAGGAAGTAAACCGCCTCCGTGGTCGAGGGGTTAGAGTCGATGACTTCTAATCCAGTTACCTCTCTGGCGTAGGTTCGATCCCCGGGAGATGCTTTGATAGTTTAGCACAGAGGAAGGTAGTCTGGTACTTGTGTAACTCTCCGGGAAAGATGGTTAGGAAACTACCTGCCAATATGGCTAAAATACTGTTGGGAAAAGGCGTAAAATGAAACAAACAAACAAAACAATAAAGTTTAAATATGTTTTTTAAGAACAAATATTAAATATTCTGATGAAAAATTTAGTGGGCAATTTTAATCCTTTTTCTGCCAGAAGTGTAATTTTATAATTATAATGTACTATTTGCCTTGGACATTTATAAGAATAGCAAGAAGTTACTATAGCAGGTGGTTGCTTAATATGTATATAGAATATATAAAACCATCAACTTAAATTGAAGTCTGTGATAAAACCTTTACTTTTATAAACGTCTTTTATGAATGAAATAATGTAGTTATTAGAAAATGATTTTTCCAACCTCAATCCAAATACTAAAAAATTGAAAAAGCCTTTAAAATCTTCAATTTTAATCTGCAATTTTGTTGTAATTTTGTTGTTAATAATGCTTCTGAGAGATCAAACTTTATCCAGATTTTTTTTTTACTTAACAAAAGGGTCATGGTTAAAGGGTTAGATCACATTTTGACATATATAATATTGAAAGTCGTTAGTTTCTAAGCCACAGTTGTTAATAGAAAAATAAGTGCTAACTGTTTACATACATTTTATGTTTCATCTTAATTTTTGTTTATTTTGTTGCATATGTTAATATGGGATTGCAATTGTTACTATGTTTTGGATCTGTAATTATTTCTGTTTTGTAACTAGGGGCAATTATTTCAAACTTCCTCACACCAAATAGCACTGTTGGTAAAATCTTACAAGTCTCTTTAATAATATTTGAGCCGCGTCACGACATAACCAACATAATGCGTTTGCGACCAGCATTGATCCAGACCAGCCTGCACATCCGCGAAGTCTGATCAGGATCCATGCTGTTCGCTTACAAACCCTATTACAAGTAGAGAAACTGATAGCGAACAGCATGGATCCTGATCAGACTTCGCGGATGCGCAGGCTGGTCTTGATCCATGCTGGTCGCAAACCCATTATGTTGGTTTTGTCGTGACGCGGCTCATTTTTGTCTTCTATATGTTAAGTATTTTCATATTGAACTCCTAAAAACTAACTCAAAACAAGAAATTAGAAGATAAGTTCATATACAGAAATTTAATGGATATGATGTGATGTCAGCAGTTAAGCTGTTCCAAACAACAATGTCCAAAAACTACATGCAAAAAGTAAATTTCTTCTGTGATTTTCCAGTTTAAAGAAAGTAAACATCAAGTTATATACTTTTACAGACTCATTAGATGATTGTTTTCTGAGCAGTTAAAAAAATAAGAAATATAGAATATGTCAATTTTAAGTTCAAATATTTTGCCTTTGTTGTAAAATTTTGAAATATGTGATACGTAGCATGCAAACAAAGTTTTACTGGTTACCGGCATGCACTTTTTAAAGGTTTTTTAATACTTTTTTGTTTTTAATTACTTTTTGCTTTGTTTAGAAAAAAATCAGTCTCGTTCTTATTCTTTCATTAGATACAGAACGTTATTTGTTTTGTTTCAAATGGTTAGCACTATATGTTTTGTATTTGAGAAATATTTACATTTTTGTTTTTATTTCACCCCCAATGTTAATGCTACATTACTCATTCTGTTTTGTACAATTGTTATAACTAGATGGATGTATTATATAGCAAAAAAATATATATTTCAAACAGAACGGTTCACTTTTCTTTGTTGTTATATAATTAATATCTGACAAGTCTTACGAACACCAGTCTTCTATAAAAATGAAATCTAAAAGAGCCCCCAACAAGACAAAATTTAAACTGTTGCAGGCTAGGTTTGATTGGAACCTTCAATGTGAAGAAAAAAGCATTATGACCCTATGCATGTTACCGAATTGAAAAAGCAATGTTCGGACCTATATAATATGTATGTGCCCTAAACGGGAAAATCATGGGCAGACCAAGATGTGTATGTGCCCTAAACTAGTAAACAATGGACAGAACTATATTTAAGATGTAGTATGTATGTGCCCTAATCGAGAAAACAATGTTCGGACCTATATTATATGTATGCACCCTAGAGCAGAACAATATAATGTGTATGTACGGTAATAAAATGTGATCTGTATGTGCCTTAAATGAGAAAACCGGGCTGAACTATATAAAAATGGTGGGATTTTCCCCCTACCTATAAAAATGTTTGTGCCCTAAACGGGCGGAGCAATATAAAATACACGTGCCCTAAACGAAAAAACAGGGTAGAACTATATTTAAAAAGTAATATGTATGTGCCCTCACGAGAAAACCGGGCTACACTATATAAAATGTATGTGCCCTAAACGGGCGGAGATTTATAAAATGCACGTGCACAAAACGAGAAAACAAAGGGCAGAGCTATGTCTAAAATGTATGTGCCCTAAACGAGAAAACAAAGGGCGGAACTATGTAAAATACATATGCCATAAACGAGAAAACCATGGGCGGAACTGTATAAAATGCATGTGCCCTAAACGATAAAACCAAAGGGCGGAACTATATCAAAGGCGTGTGCTCTAAACGTGAAAACGAAAGGCGGAACTCTATAAAATGGATGTCTAGCCAGAACTATAAAATACGTATGTGCCCTAAAGGGCGGAACTATATAACATTGAAATATGAGAGATCAGAGTTTATGCTTTATTCTCATTGATAGTCATATATTGTGTTATATAAAAGGGTCCCCTTGACAGAAATGTAAGTCTCGAAGCCCTAGCCCCAGTGAAACGACCGTGAGAGCTCCGCACGCGAGGCCCATTTTCATTCTTTCGTCCATATTAACATGCAAGTGTAAGTAAAAACACATCACCCCAAAGCCACTGCTTCGACACCATTCGTCTGATTCCGTTGTGAATTCGGTTTTCTACAAGTGTGAAGAGTCCCCTTGACAGAAATGTAATGCTGGAATTCCTAGCCCCAGAAGAACGCGCGACCTGTTTTCGTTGTTACACCCTTATGGATATGTAAGTGTACGTAAATTACCCCGCCCCAACAACCACTGCTTCGACACCATTCCTTTGATTCCATTGGGAATTCGATTTTCTACAAGTGAGAAGGGCCCCCCTTGACAGAAATGTAAGTCTCGAAGCCCTAGCCCCAGTGGAACGACCGTGAGAGATCCGCGCTAGGCATATTTGCGTTGTTTCGTCTATATTAAAATGCAATTGTACTAAGGCACATCACCCCAACAGCCACTGCTTCGACACGTTCCGTCTGATTCCGTTGCAAATTCGATTTGCTACAAGTTTGAATGGTCCCCTTGGCAGAAATGTAAGTCCCGAAGCCATAGCCCCAGTGGAACGACCGTGAGAGCTCCGCGCGCGAGGCCCATTTTCGTTGTGTCATCCATATTAACATGCAAGTGTATGTAAAACACATCGCCCCACAGCCACTGGTTTGACACCATTCATCTGATTCCGTTGCAAATTCAATGTCTACGAGTATAACGGGTCCCCTTGACAGAAATGTTTGTCTCCCAGTGAATCAACCGTGAGAGCTCCGCACGCGAGGCCCGTTTTTGTTGTTTCATCCTTAAGAACATGTCAATGTACATAAAACACATCACCCCCACAGCCACTGCTTCGACACTTTCCGTCTGATTCCGTTGCAAATTCGATTTACTACAAGCTTGAAGCTCGAATCCCTAGCCACAGACGACTGTGAGAGCTCCGCGCGCGTGGCAAGTTTTCGTTGTTACATCCGTATTAACATGTCAGTGTACGAGGGTTGTCCAAAAAATTCGTGCACTGCAGTTATTGCCGTTCAATCAGAGAAGCCATATTCACTTCAAATTTGAAAAGTATATCCCATAAAATAATATGTATGAAAAAAATAAGCGACTTATTTTCTCTTATATGAACAGCGCGAGACATGTGGTATGTGGGCGGAGTTATGGCTAGAATAACATACGGGCATTATATATAAACTAAAAAAAAATACGAGCAAATTA